AATAACCAACATTCTAAATAATTGTTTTAAAATAATACCAAAGAAATTAACCAACAATTCTCAATAATTGTTTAAAAGAGATTTTTTTTTTACTGGCGCACCCCTTGAAATTTCTAAGTTCACACCCCTGTCTTCAAAACAGAATTTCTGGGCACACCCTGACATGACTGAGTTCACACCTCTGTCTATTAAGACAGATTTTCTGACACACCCCTATAATTACGAAGTTCACATCTTATCCACTAAGACAGAATTTCTGAAAACGTACCCCGTAAAAATTAATGGATTCACACCCCGTGTATAAGATAAAATTCAGATGCACCCCTTTGAACTAGTAAGTTCACAGTCCAACCCATATTCCAACATTTCTACAACACCCTCTAATTTTCTTAAGTTCACCCCCTATAATTTAAAATAAAATAAAACATTATTTCTCCTTGGTGGGGCCTACGCAGGTCCATCTAAATTCCTAACTTCTCTTATTTTCTCTTCTCGTTTTATTCATCACCTCCACTACTCTGAACACACTTTCTTTTACTATTTTATTTAACTTTTTCTAACAACCCCAAATCCACACTTTCTAAAACCAAGGGTCTCTCCCTCACATATCTACTCTCTCACAATATAGATTCTTCATGCACATACATTCACTTTGTTTTCACTTGATTTCAAAGACCCATCTCTTACCAACCCCTTCTTCCATTTTAATACCAAAACCCTCACCACTTTACGTAAAAAACATATTTACCCCTCCCTTTTCTTCTCTTTTAGTTCATTCTTCCCACACAACTTCAAATTCTCCAAAAACTACACTTAGAAAGAACCTCAAACCCACAATACCACTCTTACTCTCATCATCTCCTCTTTCTACAAATAAACATTAAACCATTCTTTTGTTCTCCTCTCACTTTCTGTCACACACATGCACATAAAACAATTCTCTTTTGGTTTCACATAAAGTCACCATGCAAATCTCCACCTCTCATATTCCACTTTTTTTTTTCTTTATTTACAACCCCACTTATTCTATGACCCTTCCATTTTCCAATTAACATCCAAACTATTTGCTCTTCTTTCCATCTTACGTAAAACCTATACAACTAAACAACCCCTATTCCCTTATTTTTCACTTCTTCTTACTTTGCACACAAACACAAGACAAACACAAGACAAACACACACACACTCATTCTCTTCCTCTACCTGAAAGGGAAAACTCAAACTACCTACCCACAACACTCTTGGTTAAAGGGTGTAGAAATGTGCCCCTCAACAAACCCTACTCTCATTTATGCCCAAAGTAAAGAGTTAAGGAAAAGAATACAACCATGCTAGGATACTCATAGAATAAACACATACCTGTGCAACATCAAAAAGAACCAAAACATGCACATCTAATCAATATGCATAAGTTTCAAAACAAGCATGGTTAAGTTCCTTCACGTAAACAACCCAACATACATCTATTACATGCACCATCAAACTACATATATAGTCTCGTTTTTAAACTACCCCAAAATTGCATACAGTTATATAAATCCTAGTTTCCACCCTTAACTCTAGTTCCAGTGAGTTCCAAATCCTTTGAGTTTTAAAGCAAAGACCAACAAAAATGCCTTCCTTCCTTGCGTGTAGTAACAATGTTCCCCACCCGTCCAAAACTATCCTCCAAGTCTACTATTTAGTAGATTTTTCCCACTCTCTCACACATAATATGGGTTTATATAAGGTGGTAGGGTTCTCATTAAGTCCTCACTCATGTTTTTAATATGCACCATGTAACTTAACTATATGTTTCTTTACTTAACTCTATAATCTATCTAAAACCCTACAAAACAAAAGAAGCCAAGCCATGGAAAAACATTTCAACACCTACTGCCGACATTGTCACCTTCAGGAAAACTAAATCATGCAAAAGAGGAAGGCCAAGTGATAAACTATGTTTTCTCTCCTATCATTAAAACATATATGCCTCTTCAACATTATTTTATTTTTATCACTATGAGACCCACACTTCCACCAATGAAAATAAAAGAAACTAGGAAACATTACTTAACTATTCTTTCAAACAATTTTCGAAAATTAAAATAAAATTAGTTCTAATTAAGTTTTTTTCACGTTCTTAATATTTTCATACACAAAATACATACATAAAAAATTTTTAAAAAAAATTATTTTTAGTAAACACAAAATATAGAAAATATATATATATCTATATATATATATATATATATATAAGATATATATATATATGGGTTTGCTAACGCGCGTACGCAGAAAGGAGTTAGAAAAAAAAACAAAAAGGCCGTAAAGTTTGTTCCAACGAAAAAAGTAACGTACAAAACGTACAACAACCCGTTGATAACGGGGGTTTTAGTAGACAAAAATATCTTTATATATCATGGATTCTAAGTTTTAAGGTTAAGGGTATTTTCATAATTTTCATTCTCAAAACTAAAAAAACCCTTGTTCAACTCCATCATTCCTCTCAACCATTTCTCTTTCATCTCTCTCATTCCAACATTTTCTCTGTATAGCCCCAATTGAAAAAAATCAGAAACACTAACAGTTAAACAATCTTAATGATTTTATAATGAGTTTTCCATTTTATAATTTTTGTTTATCTAATTTTGTCTAATTTTCCAAGCCATAATGACATCAAAGGAATTTGGTAATTGACCTGGAAAAAATCAGTTGTTAAACAATTTCTTACAAAAAAAATGATTTTATAATGAGTTTTCATTTTATAATTTTTATCGTATATAATTTTATTTTAATTTCACCAAACATAATGACATCTGAAGGAATGGTAATTGGCCTGGAGAGTTTTTTTTAAAGATGATGATTCAACATATGCAGATGGTGAAATTAGAGAGGTTAGTGAAGATGGTGAAATTGATCTTGAATGAACCTTTGTCTGAAGGTGAATACGTCAATGACTCAAATCTTTAACAAAGAAACCACAACTGGTTCCCCCGAAAAGCCAAAGGTGTTTGATTTTTTTTAAATTGAGGGGGGGGCTACAGTAGAATGCAGAAAAAAAAGGTTGGGTGAGAGAGGAAAAAAGAAATGGTTGTGAGAGGAATGAAAGAGGATAAGGTCGAGCGGGTGTCTTTTTTAATTTTGAGGAATGAAAAATTATTTTAAAATGCCTTTAACTAAACTTATAATCGTGAATGTAAGGATATTTTTATCTACCCTAAAACCCGGTTACACATTGCTAAAACGTACCAACTGAAAAAACAGCGTACGCGGTTTGCAACGGCGTTACACCTGTTTTTCAGTTGGTACCTTTTAGCAAGTGTTACCGGATTTTAGTGGACAAAAATACCATTATATATCATGATTCTAAGTTTTAAGGTTAAGGGTATTTTAATAATTTTCATTCTCAAAACTTAAAAAAAAAAAAAAGAAACCCCCCAAACCTTACTCACCTCTCTCATTCTCTTCTCTTTAATCTCTCTCATCCAACCTTTTCTCTGTCATCCCAATTGAAAAAATCAAAAACAGTTGCCTTTAAAAAATTTGCCTTTGTAAAGAGTTGAGTCGTTGACATATTCACCTTCAGGCAAATGTTCATTCAAGATCTCTTCAATTTCACCATCTTCACTAACTTCTCTAATTTCATCATCTGCATATCTGCATAGGTTGAATCATCATCTCTAAAAAAACCCTTCAGGCCAATTACCAATTCTTTTGGATGTCATTATGGCTTGTGAAAATTAGATTAAAAATTATATACGGACAAAAAATTATAAAATGAAAATCATGATAAAGCATTTTTTAAGAAATGTTAACAACGAGTGTTTTTGATTTTTTTTCGGAGGCAAGTTACCAATTCCTTTTGATGTCATTATGCTTGTGAAAATTAGATAAAATTAGATAAGACAAAAAGTGATAAAATAAAACTCCTTATAAAATCATTTTTGTAAGAATTGTTTAACAGAGAGTATTTCTTGATTTTTTCCAGGTCAATTCCATTACCAATTCTTTATGCTTGTGAAAATTGATAAAATAGTATTAAGACAAAAATATAAGATGAAAACTCATTATAAAATCACTTTTTTATAAGATTGTTTAACGACAAGTGTTTCTGATTTTTTCAATTGGGACTACAGTAGGGATGACAGAGAAAAGATTGGAGTGAGAAAGAGGAAAGAGAAAGGGGTGGTTGTGGGTGGTGGGTTGAGAGGAATGAGAGAGGTGAGTAAGGGTTTGGGGGTTTTTTTTTTTTTTTTTTTTTAGTTTTGAGAATGAAATATTAAAATATACTTAACCTTAAAACTTAGAATCCATGATAACATAAGGATATTTTTGTCTACTAAAACCCAGTTACAGTACACATTGTTAAGATTGTACCAAATGAAAAACAGGCGTACGCGCGTTAGCAAACCCATATATTATATTATTATATATAATATATATATATATATATATATATATATATATATATGTTTTTTAAAGGTAAAATTTAAGGTAAACCTAATTATATCTTCTTTTACAAGTATTGTTATCATTCGTGCTGGCAACATTGTTTACAAAAGTAAAATTAATCCCCATGGAAACATGTCAAACTTTAATGGACTAGCTTATGTGATTATTACTAAATAGATTTTGCAAAAGTAACTTTTTTTTATCTATAAATAGGAGTTTTTTTTTAACTTTTAACGGGACTTGTTTAAAAATTTAACTTTCCTTAAAAGCTGTTTCGTGTAACTTGTTTTACAAAAATAATCAATAAGTCGTTGATCATATAATTTCAAATTAGCTATAAATGTTATCATCTCTGAAAAATAGATGATTCAAAATTCACTAGTTTTTAAGTGGCAAATAATACAAATTTCAGCAAACAAATAATAACATGTTGGTGTGAAATATAAATAAAGAAATGTAAAAAAAAAATGTTAATAAATTTTTTCTTCCCTCCAATTCGAAAGTCACAGAAATTTGAATTTTTCTACTATCAAAATTATATATACACTTCGGAGTCTTCTCGCTTGCTTAAGCTAATCCATCTTCTACAGAGAAACTTCTCTGAAAAATGTTTTCACTTGCTTCAATTGCCTGTAATCATACACATTCTAGAAATGAGTACAACCGAATTATTACATGGTAGCAGTAAATGTTAAAAACTGATAAGATTTCACGAGTAAGATTCTTTGACCATTAAGAGATAATTTCTCCGATTTAAACATTTTCAAAATGTTTAATTTGATATGTGTGAAGATATTACATGGTGAATGTGATGTTTTGGATTATGTCAATTGCAGAGCCACAAGCTTTGGAATTAAAAGCAAACCTGTTTTTTCCAGTTTGTACACATTGTTATGAGAAGTAGCATAGCTGTTTGACAAAAGGCACCAATCAGTATTCCAATCCACAGCCCTTTTCCTCTAAATTGGACCCAGAAACCCAATATAGCAGCAATTGGAATTCCAAAAACATAGTAGGCTCCAAGGTTTACGTATGCTCCTAAGTGCTGCCACCCACATCCTCTCGCAATACCTGTAATGCAAAAAGGGTTACACTGTTATATTTTTTATGGTAACTCAGATTCCACTGTATAAGAACATTGACGTGCATTGAAAAGTAATTTAAAGAAACAAACCTGAAAGGGTACCGTGCAAGCAGTCCAGCATAACAGAGAGACTTAAGAGAGGAGCCAATTCTGAGACATAATCCACCACGTCCTGCTCATTGCTGAATGCATAACCCAAAATCTGCCTGCAAGAAAAAATTATCGAGCCCACCACAATGGCCTGGGTAGCTGCCAGTATCATGGAAGCATAAGCAGATACTTTTGCTGATTGTGGACTTGCAGAACCTAATTCATTCGAAACTCTAGCGCTAAATAACAACACGAAAGAGAAACCAATCAAAAAGACAGAAAAAAAAATCCTTACTATACTATCAGTACTGTTCATGAGTTTGAATATGCAAAAATTAAAGAGGTTAGGATTTATGTGAATCAAAACCTTGCTGCTGCGCCAATTGATTCTGGGATTGTGTAGATTGTTGCGCTGATGTTTAAACTGATCAGAAAAACAGTTAACAATTAAACAACAAATTAGCATCATCATTTGTATAAACGGAAATCTATAGTTGACTAGGAATACAAATTTCAACACAGATTTTAAGACATACAAAGTCATCTTTGTCAGAAGGACTAAGTTGGTTATACATACCATACGGATAAGACTGATGTTTCTAGCTTTGCATTTGGTAGAAGACCAGAAAGCAAAATTAGTATTTCAAGCGACCACCATTCAAGGCTGCAGTGATAAAATATATAAGAAACAAATCATGGTTGCTGAAAAACTACAGGAAAAAAAAACCACCAATATTTTCCTATTAAAGATCAAATATTATACAGGAGAGCACTACTCAATCCAAATCATATCCCCGCTTAAGAATGGCAGTAGCGAATGAATTCCCCAATCCGCATGGAATATTCCACTTTGAAATTGGGGTCGATTGCTCGAGTATTTCACATTGAAACGAGAATTCATTATAATCCAAGTAATAGTCACATTCCGCCAATATGAAGTAACCCCCCAATAAAATGCCTAGCTCCCTAGTTACCAAGTCCCAGATTTACTCAACCAATAAACCAACTTGAAATTTGCACACCCTCCCGAAGCAAATAGATAAGGATTCTGCTTTCTTACAAGAGGACTCATGTCAAACTTGGTCATCAAAAAGAAAT